ACACACACACACACACACACACACACACACACACACACACCGTCGAAGCTGCGGGCGGGGAGGGTGGTGATTTTGGTTGTGGCTGAGATCAAGGAACTCAATGTCGGTGACCTTGACAAGAAAGACGCGGGAAAGGTCCTTCAGCTTGTTGTGGCTCAGATCCAGCACTGTACACGTACGCAAACACACATAGTGCGAGTGTGAGCAGTGGCAGCGAGTAAAGTTGTAGATATGGCAATTCGTAGGGACAAACATGCACACGCACACGCACACACGCACACGCAAACACACACACATATACACAACACACACGCACACGCACGCGCACACGCACACACACGCACGCGCACACGCACACACACGCACGCGCACACGCACACACACGCACGCGCACACGCACACGCACGCACACACACACAGGCAACGCACCAAGGAGACCCGTTGCCTCTGTCATGCCCTCTGGGATGCAATCGATGCTGTTGGAGGAGAGGTCGAGCGTGGTGAGGTCCTCCAGCTTGTACAGTTCGCGGGAAATGTCTTCGGCTTCAAGCGCGTTGTTGGCCGCCCGGAACGACCGCTGCAATACAGGTGGCGCAGCACCATCACGACAGCGTGTCCTTGTGAGAAAGCAATATGTGGGCAGCTACGCAGGCAGGCAGGCAGGCAGGCAGGCAGGCAAACAGATGGAGAAGCACGCAAGTACACGCAAACACAGCCATGTGCACTCACCAAGCTGGTGAGTTGTGTGACACTGGGTCCGATGCTGAGCAGCTCATTGTTCTTGATGGAGACGTACTCCAGCTTGGGCAGCCTGCAAAGCGGCAGCATGCAACACCAAGGGTAAGCACACACCATACTGAATTGACATGTACCCACGAACAGAGAAAGAGAACACACACACACACACACGCGCGCGCGCGGCACAAACAAACGTGTACACACACACACACACACACACACACACACACACACACACACACACACACACACACACAGCACAGCACAGCACGCACCTGTTGACGGCGGATGGAAGCATGTCCAGATCACAACTGTTGAGTTTGATCCAGCGCACGTTCAACAGCCGATCCACCTCGGACGGGAATGGGTCATCCTAAAATCCAAACACACCCCAAAGTGAGCTGCTGCAAAGGCATCTCAGCACTTGGCAATGCAACGCACGCCTGCTGCACACACAAGCGCGGTACGCGTGGCACTGCGAAGAACAAACACCACAAACAACACAGCAACTCAACACCACAAACAACACATCCATCCACATATGCACACATACCCATGAACACACATCCATCCACGTATGCATACATACCCATGGACACACATCCATCCAAACACACACACCTTGAAACTGGTTCCGGAGATGTCCAGACCCCTGAAGAACTTGAGAACGGACATGACAATAGCAGCTCACTGCGCAGAGTGCGTGTGTTCTTCTTCGCAAAACACGCGCTCATACATGCACCTTGAGCCTCTCAAGCTAGACAGGAAAGGAAGGCCCTTGGCTCGCTCGCTCGCTCGCTCGCTTGATGCCTCAAGACTGTGTTCCTCTTCCTCTTCTTCCTCTGCTTCGTTCGTGCTTGCCTGGTCTCGTCCGTTTTCTGTGAAATTTGCAAATTGCACCGCAACGGCTGCGTGTGGATGCAATTTGCAACTGCAGTGTGCGATCGTTTGTGTCTCTCTCCACTCTCTCTCTCTCTCTCATCTGCTTGTTCTGTTGTTCCAGTGCCCCCACTCATCCCCTCTCTCACATCGCATCACATCACATCCACCCTCGGTTCACCCTCGGTTCACTCCAGCAACAACAGCCAAGCATGGTGAGAGGCGTGGCCCAACGTGTACATGCATGCGTGCGTCTGTTGTAATGAGTGCTTGTGTGCGGATCCCAAGCACGAGGATCCAGAAGAGAGTGCACTGATACTGTGGTGGAGATGCTTGTACCTCTTGTGCGCCTTGCTGTTGTTACGTGGTGTTGTTGGAACGGGATGTGATGCGCGGCTGCTTCTTTGATCTCACTTGGACGTGCATGTCCCTTCCTTGCTCTGCTCTTTGCTATGGCTGCAGTCGAAAGTTGATATGTCCCTCGATGCTCTCATTGAGCAAGACCGCGCAGGTACTGTGTTTTGCTGTTTGGTTTGTCCGTGGTTGCGTGGCGCAGTATTGCTGTTGTGTCAGTCATGATCCTGTTGGTACATGCCCCCCCCCCCTTCTTCGTCTTGTTGGACCGCCCCCCTCCCAAAGATTAGCTGCTGATCACCCTGGCCTCCTTGCCATCCACCGATTCCACTCGCTCACGCTCACGCACACTGGTTGCATACCGTTGTGTTTGCTGCTTTGTGCTTGCGCCCTTGCTTGTATTTGCTGCGTTATGTGTAGAGCGCCAGACCCGCGGTCGTGGTCGCGGTGGCCGTCGCGGTCGTGGTCGCGGCCGTGGTGCCAGCAGCAGCCGCCCGCGCACACAGGACTCGCGTCGCCGCAACGCCCCTTACACCTCGCGCTCGGTATGTGGTCGCCGCCGCATGCCAACCGGAACGCGCGGCCTTCATTTTGGCTCCTTCTGAACCCTTGACCCATCAAGCCCACTGTCCAACCCCTCTCCGAATCACCCTCACCCTCTACCTGCCTTCCTCATCCTCTTCGCCCGCTATCCTCATCATGGTGATCGTCATGAACGCCGTCGTGCCCACGCGTCCTTGGCATTTCAACGCCATCCAATACAGCCCCGCAACCAGTTCTACCAGCACGACAGCCGCGCATTTGCCGGTAAGAAACCGATGTGCCCGAGACAGTGGCGGTGATGGCGGCGGTGAAAGGGAGAGGATACAGCATCATGCGAGAGAACACGTGATTGACGATCGTCCGGCGTGGGTGATCGTGTCGGTGGTGGCGTGAATCCAACTGAGGAGGATACTTGAATCTTTGATCCTCCCAAACCAACCTACTTTACACACATACACACACACACACACACACACACTCACACTCACACTCACACTCACACTCACACACACTCGACCCGCCCTCACACCACGTCTTGCGTTACGTTGCGGTGCATTATTGCGGTGCAGCCCCAATGTCTGCGCCCGCGCCCACCCCGCGCTCCGCCAAGCTTCTTGTGGAGAACCTCGACTACGGCGTTACAGAGTCGGACATTGAGGTCAGCAAGCGTCGCTATTTGTGTGGGTGTGGGTGTGCTCTCGTGCGTGCGTGTTCATGTGTGCGTGCTCTCGTGCGTGCGCGTTCATGTTTGCGTGTGTTCACGTGTGAGTGGTTTTTGTCAATGGTCGTGGCTGCATCCAAACATTCATGTGCGTGCACGCAGCCCAGACCACGCCATGCCATATGCTTATCCCTCACCCTCCTCCCTCCACCCGGCAACTTGTTGACATGTGTGTCCCTGCAGCAACTGTTTGGCGCCATTGGGCAGCTCGTCGACTACTCGATCCACTACGACCGCGCCGGCCGCTCCCTCGGCGTCGCTGAGGTCGAGTTTGCCCGCAGGTACAGCTCACGCTCTCACACATTAACACACATTAACACACACACACATGAACACACACACACACACCGTTGTGGTGGAATTTGTCTGCTTCTGTTTTCCCCAAATACGGCCACCGTTTGCGTGTGCTACTCGCTGGCCTCACCTTTCTCCCCCTCAAATGCACTGCGCGCGTGTGCTCACGGCTGCAGCAAGGACGCTGCAGCCGCAGTTGAGGAGTACAACGGGCGGTATCTTGACACAAAGCCGATGAAGGTGTCCTTTGTTGGCCGCCCCGGCGACCTCGTCCAACGCGTCCCCGTCCCCGTCCCCGTCCCAGGTGCAGTTACGCACGCCAGCCGTCGTAGTAGTGGTGGTGGTGGCGGTGGTGGTGGTGGCGGTGGTGGTGGTGGTGGTGGTGGTGGTGGTGGTGGTGGTGGTGGTGGTGGTGGTGGTGGTGGTGGAATTGCTGCTGGGAGGCGTTTCGTGGATGGGTAATGAGGATGAGGATGGTGCAAGCTGGCCAAAGGTGCTGCATGCTTTTATCCGAGCAGATCCCACGATACACGTGGTGGCTGCCACTCTTATATCTTTTGTCACTCCAGCCTCCTCCTCCTCTTCCTCACCACCACCACCACCACCACCACCACCACCACCACCACCACCAATCGTCACCAACATCACGCCTGCAGTGTCGTCTGGGCCGCGTGTGCCGCGCTCCTCCCGCGGGGGCCGCACGACGCGTGGTCGCGGTGCCCAGCGCGGCCGTGGCAGTCGTGGACGTGGTGCTGCCAACCGCCGCGAGAAGAAGGAGACACGTGAGTGCAACCACGAGAATTGGCGACAGTGCGTGGGCAGTTTCGGTACTTGCAGTTGTAGCTCGCCTGTGTTGTCGTTGTTCCGTGTGCTTCCTTCTCCTTCTTCGCGTCCTTCTTTGCAGACGCTCTCCCACACGCACACTCATATACACTCACTCATACACACTCATACACTCACTCACACGCATCTGTTCATGCATACAACCCCTCTTGTCCCACTCTCACGTCCATCCGTTGCTTCCTTCCATTGCTGCCCCTCCCCGCCCCATCAGCTGTGAGCAAGGATGCACTTGATGCACAGCTTGACCTGTACCAGACTGGAAAGGTCTCTGTGGACGCATCAGACCTTGATCGCCAGCTCGACGAGTACCAGCAGAAGCAGGACCAGGTGCTGTGCTGTGCTTTTGAGTGTGTCTGTGTCTGTGTCTGTTCATGTTGTGACTTGTGAGCACTTGGATGCGTAGGCTGCTGTCTTTCGCCGCCACAACAACAACAACAACAACAACGACGACGACGACAACAACAACAACAACAACAACAACAACAACAACAATGCATTTTCCAACAACTCCACCCCATTCACTCACTCCACTGTACTCGCGCCCACCTCGCTCACACCCACCTCGCGTCAACTGGCATTGCAGGAGGCCGCCGCCCCTGCTGCCGAGGAGACGGCCGCTGATGGCGACGCCGAGCCCGCCGCTGAGGAGTAAACATGTGCTTGCAGGCACACTTTCGTGCTTGCACGAACGCATGGCTCTCAGCCCTTGCTGTAGTCAAGTCGTGTCACCGTTTGCTGTTGACGAAGCTTGGTTTTGTGTCCATGTTGGTTTGCTGCTGTTGTTGATTGCGTGTGGGCGTGCTTGCTGTCCAGTTGCGCTGTTGTGGGCAATGCATGGCCCAATCGGCCAACCAGCTTGTGCCTGGCTCACGTCAATCATTAACTGTGTGTCGTGTTGTGTCAGATCTTGACTTTGTTCTGTTGCGCTGTGTCATGTATCTTTTGTCGTGTGATCTTGCGTGTGCATTTCCGTGTGTTGTTCGTGTGTTGGTGTGTGCGGTTTTGTTTGTCCTCTGTCAACAAGGAACAACACCCATAAAAACCCCAAACCAACAACACATCATGGACCGCACACGGACGGCGGTGGCGGTGTGGTGTTCAATTCTCTTCTATCGTTACTTGACACGCGCCAGCGATAACAGGAAAGAACAAAAAGCCAAGAGGAGAGAAGGCATGCAGCAAGTGTGTGTGTGTGTGTGTGTGTGTGTGTGTGTGTGTGTGTGTGTGTGTGTGTGTGTGTGTTATGCAGCTGTGGCTGCGGGAAGAACGTTGATGATGAAATGCGCAATGACACCGACGATGACGCTGAGCAGGAGAACAAGCAATCCCGTTTGCCAAGCTGGTGTGCATTGCAACAAGTTGAGAGAGAAAGGGGCGGGAGGGTGACGTGAGTGGGCAAGTTGTCGTCGTGTCTGTTGTGTGTGATTTGGCATGAACAAAGCTGCCGTGCAATCACCCAACCTTTCACCCTTCCACGATCACACACACACACACACACACAAGATCACACACACACACACAAGATCACACACACACAAGATCACACACACACACACACACACTCACACACACACACACACGACGACAACAGTGCACCTGGAGTTGCCTTGACGGGAGTGAGGAAGCACGCCTGGTCACCAGATACGCTGATGACGGCCTCTTGCTGCGTCTCTGATGGCGGCACAAATGCCAACGATGTCACAAACAGCACGTGCGGCTGCGCCCGCACCAGCACCTGCGAGGTGTGTTTTGGAGGGGGGGGGGCATTACTTTGATTGAGGGCGGTAGACTGTGGGGTGTGGACAGTGTGGTGTGGTGTGGACGGTGACCTGGGCATGACAAAGTGTGCATGAATTGTGCACAACAGTGTGTCTGCTAATCGAGGACAAGCAGCACTGCCATGTGCAGGGCGTGTGCGGATCTAACCTTGAGAGTTTCTGCATCAAGGATGGTGACACCACCCTCCACATCACCCACGGCGCAATACTGGCCAGAGGGGCTGTGCAGGGTTGATGGAGTGGGTACAGCCGGCAGGATGAAGCAGGCGCCCATGCGCATCATGAGCAAGCACGTGAGACCATGTGATGCAAGTGGCAGACGCAAGCGTGCACGCACGTGCACTTGAACAACAAAACAACAAACACAAAGGGCGCAAAGGGCGCAAAGGGCGCATATCAACACGCACTGCAGGGAGTGGGGAGCGAAACTGCAACATGAACAACAGCAAGAGCAGCAACACTACCACCACCACCACCACCACCACCACCACCACCACCACCACCACCACCAGCAACATAGTCCGCTGAGCAACCACAGCAGCGCTGAGAGCGCACCTGGTTGCGAGCGTTGTGAGGGCGGGTTTTCGTAGCGGCTGCAGCGCTGTTGGCGCCCATGTTGCCGCGTCCCACTGAACGACAAATGCCTTGTCTTTATTTGGGTCTCGCGCATTGCTTGCCGTGAACAGAAAGTCGTCGTGTTCGCCAATGCGGGCGAATGCACACGCCCGCTGCACATGCGTCTCGCTCCGCCTGTGTGTGTGTGGGGAGGGGGGGGTATGTGTGTGTGTGTGTGTGTGTGTGTGTGTGTGTGGTCAGAAACGCAAGCGCATGAGAGTGTACAGACACGTTGACACTGTTGCGCACATGCATATGCACCACACACGCAGCAACGCAACGCACCATGAAATGGTCTTGTGCATCTTCTTTGTAACAGTGTGCCAGACGGCCACCTCTGCTGACCCCCGACGTGCGCATGCCAACAGCTTCCCCGACGCATCAAACGCCAACGACTCCACCTATTGACAAGTGTGAGCAGTGAGCAATGAGTGGGGGGCGGATGGTGAGTGACAAAATCCTGGGAAAGAGCAAGAGCAAGGGAAACAGAGGCTTTACACGCACACACACACATCCACACACACAGTGATGGCACCTTGCTGCCGAGTCTGATGGTGTGTGGATCCTCAAGGGCTGGGAACGGCCACACACGCACCACGCCTTCCTCTCCACCGGTGGCTGCCAACATATGAGTGCGTGCGTGTGTGTGGGGGGGGGAGATGAGGCAAGCAGGTGGACGTGGAGGGCGGTGCGATTGCAAGTACAAGGCATCATCTGTGATCCGCGTTTGCATGCAAACAGCCGGGCATGGAGCTCACCGAGCCATCGACCACTGGGACTGAACACTGCCGCTGCCACGACTGCATCCTACATGCGTGTGTGCGTGTATGTGTGTGTGTGTGTGTGTGTGTGTGTGTGTGTGGGTGGGTGTGTGTGTGGCTGGGTGCATAACTTGAAGTAAAGACAGGGCAACGAGAGTGGTGGCATGCAGAGTGTTTGTTATGTACGCGTGCGTGCGCTTGTGTATTGATGTGTTTGTGTGTGGTTCTAGATTGCAAACGAGTTGGGCGAGACGTACGTCCTTGTCAAAGTCTGCGGTGATTGTTGCTGTTTCCTTGAAGGAGCTTGATCCATCGAAATCAAACACGACCACGTCCCCGTCGATGCTGCTGACAACTGTTCTGCAGTTCTGTTCAGTACATCCCGCAGGCAGGCCGCAATGGCGTCAACAAACACGCCATGGCATGCCGTGTGATATGTGCTTAATTTGGGGGGGGGGCGGGTATCTTCAAGCTGACCCGCTAACCATCACACACACACACACACACATTCTCACACACCATCACACACTCGCTCGCCATCACACACTATCACACACACGTGCGCTCACTCACTCACACACGTACACTCACTCACACACACACGCCACTCACTCACACACGCCACTCACACACTCACACACACACACACACACTCGCTCACTCACTCACTCACACACACACACACTCACTCACACACTATCGCACACACACACACACCATCACACAATCCCACACACCGGGTGTGAGGCGACAAGGTTGAAGGTGCCACGCTTGTCGACGTGTGTGGCCAGCACGGTGGATGAGGCGTCCTTGAGGTGCAATGCCGTCAGTGCATTTGGTACACCGTAATCACCCTTGCCACCGCCACCACACACAAACACCACACACCCTCGTTGCTGCCGTCCCTGCTGTTGCTGTTGCTGTTGTACACAGCAACCGTACAGTGGAGCCTCCTCAAAGTGCTGGAGCACGCTTGCCCTTTTGCGCACCACCTTCGCCGCGCCAGCAGGCTTCTTCTTCTTCTTCTTCTGCTGCTGCTGCTGCTGCTGCTGCTGCTGCTGCTGCTGTGTCTTCTTGCCTGGCATGGCGTGAACCTCGCTTGGCTTGCTCGTTGTCTGGTGGCTTGGTTTGCTCTGTTGTTGTTGTTGATGATGATGATGATGATGATGATGATGATGTGTGTGTGCGGTGTTGGCAGTCGCTCGCGCTGTGTTTGTTTGTCTTTCTGTTTGTGTCTCCTTGCTTCGCACGAATCAACAAACCTCTGCTTTTCGCTGACTCAGCACAAACTTTTGAATCGGCATTCGAGTGCAAGATGAGGTGATGTGAGATGCACTTCCGCAATGAATGCAAGCCAAACGCGCTGCCAATGACATCAACGCAACCAGCACGTGACGCTCGCAACGAACAGACGAACGTCATCCCCGCATTCCTGTCCCGATGCAAGACCATCCAAGATGTTGTTGGACTGGCGTGCTTGTTGTGCTTGTTGTGTGCTTTGGTGGTTGCTGTTCTTGCAACCGCACGACTGCAGGTTTAAGCGTGTGCCAAGCAAGCAGCAAGCTCCATTGAAACGCCTGAATCTCACCCAACACGGACCCCAGCTCCACCGAAGCCTCTACACACATTGTCCCACAACACAAGAAAGCGAAGTGGGAGCGAATTGCAAGCGAAGTGGAAGCGAAGTTGGAAGCGAAGGCCAACGAAGCCTAAACCTTCCCGTTGCTGTGTCTTGCTTGTGCGTCTCCCTCCACCTTCGTCGACATGCAGCGTGCAAACGAATCAGTCAGGTATTGCTTTGCTTGCTTGCAGGCACACGAAATTTGTTGGATGATGCGCACCAATGGCCGGCGTGCACACGGAACGTGCCAGCCGCCCCCAAGCACACAACACAATCCTACCCAAGCGTTGGCAATCGTCATGCGCACACAGGGTTGCATATCAATGCACCAGCACCTTTGTGTGTCACAGAGTGGTGTGCATGTCGTGTGGCGTGCTGGACAACGACGCAGTCTTGCAGGTGGTTGTCTGCATCTCACTGACTGGTTGGCCGAAACGCCACGACTCAAGATTACACACACACAGACACACGCACACAGAAACACGCAACACGCCCCTCCAACCGCACCCAACCCAGCCGAAACAGACTCACCACACGGCGCGTTAATGACGTGTCGTGTGTCGGGTGTGGTGTGACACACACACCGTTTCCACACGCGCCAACCAAACGTGATGTCTTCTTGCTTGTTGTTTTGTTGCTTGCTTCTTGCATTGCACCACTGACAACACCAACCACAACAAAACAAGTGCACACACACACACACACACATGCAACGCACACATCACCTTTCCCGACCCAAGCAAACACAACTTCCCTCGCCGCCCAGTTTTGCCTCGGACTCCCCAAGCACAGGACGGACACACGTATCGCTCGCAGCAGACACATGCATCGTCAATGACCGCACGCAGGCACTCACGCACACTCATTCACACAATACACAGCCCACCTTCGCCGTCATTGAACGTGAACCAACCACTCCCCCACATTCATTTTCTCCACCACATCCTGGAACCAGCAACAGCCAAGCAAGCAAGCAAAGCCACACCAAAAGCACAAACCCGCTCCCCTCTCAATATCATCGCCTTTGCCTACCATTTGCTCCTGAACACGCGCACACCAAAGCCAAACAGCTCAATCAGCGACCCCAGCCATCACCGCCATGGCTCGCAGGACCCTCTCCCTCACCATCCCCACGCTGGACCGCCGTGCCAGCGACGCCGCCCCAGATCAGCCCCCGGCCATCTACACCACGACGACGACGACAACCACACACGCCAGCACCATGAGCTCAGACTCGGCCTCGAGCCACAAGCATGCGGCGTCACACACGCACAAGCCCATGCAACACACCACCAGCAGCAGCACCAGCAGCGGCCTGGCCATGCGCCGTGGACACACCACCGCATCGCTCTCCCTCTCCCTGCCAACACCCGATGTCCACAACGACGAGGACACCACAGAGGAGTGCTTCACCCCAGAGAGCCTGGACGCGCTCTTCGAGGCCGCCACCATCTCCAACCTCACCTCCCCGACCGTGTCCGATGTCAGCGACGTGAGCGACATTTGCGACAGCGCCGTCGCCACGCCAACCCACACCGGCGCCGCCACGGCCACCGACGACGACGTGGAGATGGAGCTCGAGCACAGGTTCCTGCACATCGCGCCGCCGCTCGCGCCACCGCCTCGCAGAACCGCCGCAGCCATGCCGCAGCGCCGTGCGCACACCCCGACCCGGGCCACCTCCGGCACGCAATCGCCCGTCTTCGGCCGCCGCCGCAGCGCCTCCGATCCGCGCGTCCTGGAGCGCCTGCTCATGGCATCGCCGCCAAGCCCACGCCTGGACCGCAGCAGGAAGCGCCCACACAAGCCCGCGGCGCTCAGACACAAGCAGCCAGCGTCCGTCCTCTCCTTCGCGTGCACACACCAACACCACCTCTCCTAACAAGCACCACTCGCCTTTGTGATGTTATTTCCCCTCTTGTGTGCACGCCTATGGCGCTCTCTTTAACTTATTCGGGCGGTCTCCTTGCTCATGATGTGAAGGTGATGCTTTTGGTTTTGCTTGCGGTGTCGTAAGCGACGAACCTCTTCTTCTTCCTCCTCCTCCTCTTCTTCCTCTTCCCTTCCTTCATAAGCATCCTCGACTCGCTTCTCTGCTTGGTGCCTTACTTTCTGGTTTTCTTTATTCGTAGTTGTGACACGATGTGACCATCATGCATGGTGGTATTCGAGCAATACATGCACACATCCAACACACACTGTGAACGAGCCAAGGAAGGAAAGAAAGAGGGAGGGAAAGAAAGGAATCAAGGACGGGTAGCTAGCTGAAACGAAGCAGGGTGGGGGAAGGGTACGGAGCAACAAAGGGAACAGCACAGCACAAAGGGAGGTCTTAGACAACAGCAAGAAAGCCGAGACACGGTCCGTCGCGCAGCCACACACACACACACATACACATACACACACACACACACACACACACACACACACACACACACACACACACACACACACTCCCGCGACTTGGATTCCGTTACTTGGCTTGGCGTGCTGGTATGCGGCATGCCTGCATGCTTCCCAGGTTGTTACAGCTGCCATCTTGGCTGCATTGCTGCCTTGCTCCTCTCTGCTTGTCAGACAAACAGGCGTGCTCAAATGTAAACATAAACAAACATATATAAGGGCTTCGCACAGCAACGTTGTGGTCAGGGCTTGGGTGTCGCAACGACAAGCGCAAGCAAACACCACACCAGCAAACATGGGTCGTCCACACCATTCAAAACACCGAACCACACGCACACACATACGCACATGCACCCCAGGCAGCAACTGCTGCTGCACACCACAGGAGCAAGATGGCAACACAGCCAACTATGCAGCCATGTGGCAACCAACCAAAACACACAAACACACACATGCACTGGTATGCGTGAGGGTAAGCGGTCACACCTGCATGCTTGAGGTTGAACGCGTGCGCACTCGCGCGCCACGATTTCCAACGAGGTTTAGGCAAAGGGAACGCGTGCAGCACGAGCACTGGCATGTGGCTGCCACTTGTTCTTCTTGGTTGTGGAGCTGCCGAAGGGCTGTGTGGCTCGTGCCCACTTGACAGGCGACGCCCACAACCTCAACATGCCAGGCTCTCTCTGAAAGTTGGGTTTTGAGGGAATAGAGACACATCGGCAAGCACAACACAGCGCCATTCAAAACAGGGCCACGAACAATGTCAGTGCACGCGCGCGTTTCACAGACATCGACCAACTGGCCAAAACATCAGTGCCAAGAAGCACGGGCAAGCACGCCACCGGCAGGCACGTTGAGGATGTGAGGTGCGCTCACGCCAGCACGCCAGCAGCTACTGGCACGAACCCAAGCCAAACACCCAGCAGCAAAGCCCGCAAGCAAGCAAGCAAGCAAGCAGGCGAGCCAGCAGGCGGCATGCAGAGGCGAAAACACCCACACCACTACACCACTACACCACGCACACAACAAAGGCATGGATGCAGACACAACCACGCACAGACACAACCAATTATGTACTTGGGAGCAAAACACGGGCACACAACAACAGCAACAACAACAACAACAGTACCAACCATACAAAGCACTTGCATGTTGTCTTTGTCTTTGTAGCTTGCCTGCATGCAGTGAAGAACTTACTCATGCATGCTAGCCTGCATCTTCTCTTGCTTCTTGACTGCGTCGCGTCGCTTGTTCACGCGCGTGTCAAGGTTTCGTGCACGCGCCAACAAAAGAACAAAGGGAGGAAGAAGTCCTGAGTCCCTTTGCAGCCTTGCGTTCCCGTCCTTGCCTTGCACTGCACGCGACTTGTGTTGCGCGTGTCACATCCCTTCATCCAGCCAGGCCAGCTGCACGCTGTAATCTTCGCGGCACATCAAAACATCCGGTCACGCACAGACGCATCACACACAAGCAACTCAAGCGAAAGGGCGAAGCAAGGTGAAGGTCCTGCTTGTCACCTTTGTTTGTGCTTTGTGCGCTCGCAAGCAACGGAGACTGATATCAGTCACGCCGTGTTCCTCCTGTTCCTCCACGTCGCCGAATAGTTTCTGAAAACATGCACAAATCCTCCATTTCTCTCCATTTTTTGCTGTGCAGACAGAAGAGAAGGAGAAAGCCATCTCGACCATCAACATGCGTGGATCATCATCTGCTGCCGTGTGTGCGCTGCTGCTGGCTGTCGTCGCCTCCCTGCAGGTGAGAGTGTATGTGTGTGCATGTGTGTGTGCATGTGTGTGTGCATGTGTGTGTGCATGTGTGTGTGTGCATGTGTGTGAGTGTGTGCATGTGTGTGTGCACATGTGTGCACATGTGTGTGCATGTGTGTGCATGTGTGTGCATGTGTAAGTGTGTGAGGGGATGGCTGCTTGTCCTTGAAGTACACACAGCGACAGCTCACGCAAGTGTACCACGCACGTATACTCACACATGGTGTGCGTAAAATAGGCGGCACCAAGCAGTGCGGCAACCTTGGCGTTTGTGAAGAGCCCAAGCTTCATCGATGTCAACACAAACGCACCCCTCCTTTCCCAATCACAAGTCGACGACGTGGTCAAGGCCTCGCTCGGCCTCAACACCGTAAGCTTGTGTACATGTGTGTGCATGCGTGCTTGTCTGCGTTTGCGTGCCTGTGCCTATGCTTGTGCGCTTGTGTGCTTGTGTGCCTGTGCCTATGCTTGTGCGCTTGTGTGCTTGTGTGTGCCTGCAGGTCTGAACCTTGTGATACCACATTCAACAACACTCAGCCCACGTGCTCACTCACGTGATCACTCACATGCTCACTCACGTGCTCATTCACGTGTACACTCCCTTTCTGCCATTGCATCGCCAAAGGATACCGTGTGGGCTGGCGTGTCGCGCACAAGCCCCTTTGATGTTCCTTCCCGTACCCTGCACGTCACAGTGTCCGGCTGCGACCAAGGTTTGTTCAACAGTGCACATCCACACACCACACACCCGACACCAACATTGAGAAATGCGCACAACACGACTGCCCATCCGTTGTTGTTTGCCTTTGCTGACCCTGTCTTCCCTTCCACAACACAACTGCGGCTTTCATCAGAGTGCATCCCAGAGGCGAGCGAAGCCCTTTTCAACATCATGCCCCAGGTACACACCCAATCTGTTTTGTGTATCACTCGCTACACCGTGGCTGTCCATGTGCTGCGAGCTGTTCTGACCATGCCACGTTGGCCGCAGTTGTCGCAGACCTCAAGCGGGCGCGCTCTCATCCTCACAACAACAACAACTTAAACAACTTAAACAACTTAAACAACTTAAACAACAACAACTTAAACAACAACAACAACAACACTCCTTTGCTCACCTTTTCCGGCTTTTTGTCTTCTGCGCATACACGTCTTACGCACAACAGGAGTATGCCACCTCCACCTCCTCAAAGCCGCTCGCCACACATGTGTCTGCCGCCTTTGGCGCCGACAGCCTCGTCACCCCTGCAACCACCCAGGTGTGGCTGCTTGTTTGTGTGCCTCTGCATCTGCGTGTCTGCCGGCACATGTCTGCCGATATTAATCGCGCACGTTGCTCACTCTCGTTGCATGTGACATGTGCGACACACATTCACGGCACAGCTGTCCGTCACTGAAGTGACAGAGATCCTCAACAACGTCCAAGGTTCGTCTAGAAAAAAGAAACAACCACCAGGCTGCCTCTGCTCCTCACTCTCACGTCAACACTCTTGCCTCACCTTCACCTTTTGTTAACTCAATTCGTTGACGCCCTCATTCATGCTCCCCTCCTCCTCCTCCCCCTCCTCCTCCTGCTCCAGGGGTGCGTGTGTCTGAGATGGCCATCATCGTTGGCGATGAGGAGCCCTTGGACGCGTCGTCCCCGCTCGCCTCCGCCCTTGCCAACATCATCACCGCCGCCAACACCGTCGTTGCAGCTCAGACAAACGTGAGACACGTGGCTCCTCCCCATATTGGCTTGCTGAATCCATCTGCCACAGCACGCCCTCACATACACACCTGTACACACACACACACGCACGTACGCACGCATGTTCTTGTCCATCTCACTAATTTCGCACATCACCACTCACCTCCCCCGCCACCGCTACCCCTATTTGCCTGCTTTGTTATGCGTAGTCTCCACGCGTGATTGTGGAGACAATCGACATGAGCGCCATCCCTGCCGAATCCCAGTCTGCCGCCGCTGCCCTTGTTCGCGCCACCATCGCACACGCATCAGCCCTCCTCGCCCAAGGTTCTTGCTCACGTCTCAGCACATGCACCCAGCAACACCACAACACACACACATACATACATACATACATACATACATACATACATACATACATACATACATACATACATACATACATACATACATACATACATACATACATACATACATACATACATACATACATACATACATACATACATACATACATACACACATGTCTTTCCCTTGCTTGCACCATAGCTTGGCTCACACCATACACCTATCGTCCCCTCACCTCTCCCCCACCCCTCGTCTCGTTCTCGTTCTTCCCAGACGGCAGCAGTGCCCTGACGACGATGGCGTGCAGCGCCAGCGGTGCGGATGTGTCCGCCCGCGTCATGCGCCGCTCCCTCAACGACGTTGGCACCCTGCACACGGGCATTGTGCCCAACAACGCCAACCTCACCCCAAGCGACCCGGCCTGGGTTGAGCACTGCAAGGAGTACAAGTGCTTCTGCGCCACCGACGCTGACGGCAACCCGTGGGACCCCAAGACGCGGTGCAAGGCAGACTGCGACCCAGAGAAGGGCCCGTGCGATTGCGTGTATCTCGGGTGCGACTGCAAGACTGGCGCCAACGTCATGAAGACACAGTCCAAGTGCATCAAGTGCAAGGAGGGCTTTGTTGTCATTGGCAACCACTGCTATCTGGAGTCGGACATGCCTGTGGCGGTGAACATCAACCTGTGGCTTGGCCTGCTGCTGCTTGCAACGCTGCTTCTCACGTGCTTCAGCCTCGGCAACATGGACCCGGGCTACGACAGCATCATCTACCGCATGACCCAGCAGAGGATCAAGGCCCAATAAGCACATGCACACACACACACACACACATCCACAACACCAGAAGAGCTGTTTGTGTGCTTCGTACAAGAACACATGCACGATTTGGTTTTCTGTTTTGCTGTATTGATGCGCCTTTTGAGGCACACACACACACACACACATATTGTGGTGCATCACCAGGCAACTCGTTCATAGTAGCTGTGCATGGGTGGTTCCGTTGTTGTCTGCTCTGCTGTCGATGTCATGCCCAAGTGATGTGACATGACAACGAGTCTTGTGTGTTTGTCCTTACCAGTAAAGTCCGCAACTCCACCAGCACCGCAGTGCACGCACACGCAAAAAAAGCGCGCGCGCGCGCACACACACACACACACACACACACACACACACACACACACACACACACACACACACACACACACACACACACACACACACACAAAAGTACACACTGGCACTGCTATTGCCTGGCATCACCACCGCGCGTGTCGGCGTTGTCTTCCGCGTGCGTCAGAAACGCTGGCATCGCTGCACCCCGCTGTGGCGTGACCAGCCCTCGCGACGCAAGATACTCCGGGCTGTAAAGCTTGGACATGCTGCGGTGGCCCTGGTCGCACAGGCACGTGACGATGGTGTGGCCGGGCCCCAGCCGCTGCGCCATGCGCACTGCCCCGACACAGTTCATGGCCGATGACGAGCCGACGAAGATGCCGTCGTTGTCCA